GGGTTCATTATTAGTGCTTGAGGCAGTGAGATACAGACACCTTGAGGATTCTTAGGGTTGAGTGTTACAACCTGAGGCTCTCAGAATCAAAGGCAACTTTAGGTTTCATTAGACAACCTGGCCAAGGCATCAGATGAGTTGCCCGTGCAAATCACTACACAGGCGACAACAAGTTAATTACAAAAGAAAACGTATCAACATATACCAATACGTTGATATAGACAGAAATCCCTTGCATGGCCTTAACAGACTGTTGCAGCAAGTGCTGTTAGCGAGCTCCTATGAAGGGGTGGGTGGTCGGCACCACGCCCGACCGCCTTTGTCTCCCCAGTGGCGATGTTTATACACAGCAGTCATCACTACACTATCACACACACACAGTGTACATAACTACACTATAACACACACACGAGTGTACATCACTACACTATCACACACACACACGAGTGTACATCACTACACTATCACACACACACGAGTGTACATCACTACACTATCACACACACACACGAGTGTACATCACTACACTATCACACACACACACGAGTGTACGTCACTACACTATCACACACACACACACGAGTGTACATCACTACACTATCACACACACGAGTGTACATCACTACACCATCACACACACACACGAGTGTACATCACTACACTATCACACACACACACGAGTGTACATCACTACACTATCACACACACACACGAGTGTACATCACTACACTATCACACACACACACACGAGTGTACATCACTACACTATCACACACACACACACGAGTGTACATCACTACACTATCACACACACACACGAGTGTACATCACTACACTATCACACACACACACGAGTGTACATCACTACACTATCACACACACACGAGTGTACATCACTACACTATCACACACACACACGAGTGTACATCACTACACTATCACACACACACGAGTGTACATCACTACACTATCACACACACACGAGTGTACATCACTACACTATCACACACACACACACGAGTGTACATCACTACACTATCACACACACACGAGTGTACATCACTACACTATCACACACACACACACGAGTGTACATCACTAGACTATCACACACACGAGCGTACATCACTACACTATCACACACACACACGCTAGTGTACATCACTACACTATCACACACACGAGTGTACATCACTACACTATCACACACACACGAATGTACATCACTACACTATCACACACACACACACACGAGTGTACATCACTACACTATCACACACACACACGAATGTACATCACTACACTATCACACACACGAGCGTACATCATACACTATCACACACACACGAATGTACATCACTACACTATCACACACACACACACACGAGTGTACATCACTACACTATCACACACACACACAGTGTACATAACTACACTATAACACACACACACACGAGTGTACATCACTACACTATCACACACACACGAGTGTACATCACTACACTATCACACACACACGAGTGTAGATCACTACACTATCACACACACACGAGTGTACGTCACTACACTATCACACACACACACACGAGTGTACATCACTACACTATCACACACACGAGTGTACATCACTACACTATCACACACACGAGTGTACATCACTACACTATCACACACACGAGTGTACATCACTACACTATCACACACACACACGAGTGTACATCACTACACTATCACACACACGAGTGTACATCACTACACTATCACAGACACACAGTGTACATCACTACACTATCACAGACACACAGTGTACATCACTACACTATCACACACACACGAGTGTACATCACTACACTATCACACACACGAGTGTACATCACTACACTATCACAGACACACAGTGTACATCACTACACTATCACACACACAAACAAATGTACATCACAACACTATCACACACACACAAACGAATGTACATCACAACACTATCACACACACACAGTGTACATCACTACACTATCACACACACAGTGTACATCACTACACTATCACACACACACACACACGAGTGTACATCACTACACTATCACACACACACACGAGTGTACATCACTACACTATCACACACACACACACACGAGTGTACATCACTACACTATCACACACACACACACACGAGTGTACATCGCTACACTATCACACACACGAGTGTACATCACTACACCATCACACACACACACGAGTGTACATCACTACACCATCACACACACACACGAGGGTACATCACTACACTATCACACACACGAGTGTACATCACTACACTATCACACACACGAATGTACATCACTACACTATCACACACACACAGGAGTGTACATCACTACACTATCACACACACACAAGAGTGTACATCACTACACTATCACACACACACACGAGTGTACATCACTACACTATCACACACACAGTGTACATCACTACACTATCACACAAACACGAGTGTACATCACTAGACTATCACACAAACACGAGTGTACATCACTACACTATCACACACACACACACACGAGTGTACATCACTACACTATCACACACACGAGTGTACATCACTACACTATCACACACACGAGTGTACATCACTACACTATCACACACACACACACGAGTGTACATCACTACACTATCACACACACACACTAGTGTACATCACTATACTATCATACACACACACGAGTGTACATCACTACACTATCATACACACACACACGAGTGGACATCACTACACTATCACACACACACATGAGTGTACATCACTACACTATCACACACACGAGTGTACATCACTACACTATCACACACACACACGAGTGTACATCACTACACTATCACACACACACACACACACGAGTGTACATCACTACACTATCACACACACACACGAGTGTACATCACTACACTATCACACACACACACACACACGAGTGTACATCACTACACTATTACACACACGAGTGTACATCACTACACTGTCACACACACACACGAGTGTACATCGCTACACTATCACACACACACGAGTGTACATCACTACACTATCACACACACACAGTGTACATCACTACACTATCACACACACACAGTGTACATCACTACACTATCACACACACACAGTGTACATCACTACACTATCACACACACAGTGTACATCACTACACTATCACACACACACACGAGTGTACATAACTACACTATCACACACACACACACGAGTGTACATGATTACACTATCACACACACGAGTGGACATCACTACACTATCACACACACACGAGTTTACATCACTACACTATCACACACACACACGAGTGTACATCACTACACTATCACACACACGAGTGTACATCACTACACTATCACACACACAGAGTGTACATCACTACACTATCTCACACACGAGTGTACATCACTACACTATCACACACACGAGTGTACATCACTACACTATCACACACACACACACACCAGTGTACATCACTACACTATCACACACACACATGAGTGTACATCACTACACTATCACACCCACCACGTGTGCTGTGTCGGCCTTCACAGGTGCTCACCAACACCACTTGCCCCTACAGCCTGTGAAAGGTGACACACGGGAGATGTTTGTGTTTGTTGTACACACACAGAGACGCTGCGGCGGTGTTGATATCCACGCTGCTGCTGCTGCTGTGATCCACTGCCTCCCACGGGCACTACCGCACAGTGGGGCTGAACGATGAATCGATTTCAAATCGAAATCGCAATTTGAAATAATGCGATTAGCAAATCGCAAAGGCTGCGATTTTTTGCGATTTCAAAAGTACTTTTACTTTCTTATTGGAATTGTTTTATTATTTATTATTAGAACTTTATTGATTTAACTTAACAATTAATTCTAGATTTGAAGCTTTCGTGACTGCAAGGATTCATACTCTTAGGTTGTTTCGGTAAAGTCACGTAGGAAAAAATAAATAAATAATACAAAATGAAAATAACTCAATTAAATCACGACGTTTCGGAGGCAACACAAGTCTCCGTCTTCAGGTGGGACCGTCACAGCTAAATTTGCTGTATCACTTTAGATTATTATATTACTATTATTTTATTTTATTAATATTAGTTAATTTTATTATTATTTTTATCATTTTTAGTTAATACTATGTTATTTTATTATTATTTTGTTAGTATTTTATTATTAAAAATATCTTATTAGTATTTTATTATTACGTTATCCATATTAATTTATTGTTATTTTATTTTAATATTATTGTTGTATTATAATTTTTTATTTTACTACTATTATTTTATTATTATTTTGGCGCTATTATTATTTTAATAGTATTTTATTTTATTATTATTACTATTTTATTATTATTTTATTATTATTATTTTATATTATTATTTTACCTACGTGACTTTACCGAAAAAACGTAACAATTGCTCTATGTTTGATCGTTCTATTTCAATTAAAACATTTTAACAAATACATGTTGGAAGCAATTAATATATTTCAAGTTTTCAGCCTTGCATTAGAATATATAGAGCAGTTCACATTTTGATGGTATCATCACATGTTTTACATCTATTACACAGTGAATATTGAACTGAAGCTCGACTTTTAAAAATGTAGATGGCGGGGCAGACAAACGCACCGCTGTACTGTACTTCTATGCTCTCGCCAGCCGCGCCGCCTGCCTTCACCAACGCGCGGTGACCGGCGTGGTGAAGTATGGTCAAATATCCCCCGCGACCCGCACGGTGTAGGGAGGCCCTCATCCAGCAGTGGATTGACAAAGCGCCCGTTACATGTCATCACACCGATAGCTACGCATTACAACGTTGTGTAACAATGCTCATTATGAAATGCTCTATTGTAGTGTACGTGCGTGTTAGTGCACGAGTGCTGTTGTTATAGTGGTGCTGTTGTTACACGGCGACTGTGATTATCGTTACTGCAGACGGACGCTCACCGACTCTGGACCCAAACTCGGCCCACAACGAACTCCAGATTTCCTCGGACCTCAGGACGGTGACGCGGACCGCTGTCTCCCAGGGTCGTCCCGATCACCCGCACCGCTTTGATGGCTGGCGACAAGCCCTGTGCTCCGAGAGCTTCTCGTCTGGTCAGCACTACTGGGAGGTGAACGTGGGGGGTGTGACGGGGTTCTGTCAGGTTGGAGTCGCGTACGGGACGATCGCACGGAAAGGGCTTGGTAAAGAGTGCGGGCTGGGACAGAACGACTCATCCTGGGTTTTATATACAAATAACAACAGCTGCTCAGTGTGGCATGGTGGTGTATCGACCTCAGTGTCGGTGAGGGATCCTCCCCGGAGAGTCGGTTGTCACCTGCACTACGAGGCGGGGCTGCTGTCGTTTTACCGCGCCGACTCCATGGAGCTGCTGCACTCCATCCACCACTCCTTTAGTCAACCGCTCTACCCCGCACTGAGTGTGTATGGTGATGGTAGCTCAGTGAGGATTCTGGATCTGAGTCGTGCGTGCTGAGAGCACGGAGTGTGAGCAGCACAGAGAAACGGGCACAACGCACAGACTCGCGCAAACAAAGACACAGATCCACCGTGTAGCCTTCACAGGCTGTTGGGGCAAGTGCTGTTAGCGAGCACCTATGAGGCCGTCCATAAATGACGTCACGCACCTAGGGGAGGGGGGCAGACATTTGTGACGATGGGGGGAGGTTGAGAAATGTGACGTCACGTCAAAATGCGCAACTTAAATATAGACAACACGTTCTACTTAGTTAAATAGACTTTTTAATAAATGTTTTCGCCTACAACATCAGAGTGCAGCGCCACATTAAATACGTACTACAATGACAATAGCTTAAAGCGATTTGACGCATGTTTTTTTTTTTTTGGGGGGGGGGGGGGGGCAGAGCTTTGTGACGTCATTTGAGGGGGGGTCTGACTTTTGTGGCGCCGTGTGACGAAGGGGGGGAAGGGTCAAAAATCGCGTGACGTCATTTATGGACAGCCCCTATTAAGGCCGGCACAGCACACTCGGGGGTGGGTGGCCAACACCACGCCCGGCCGCCTTTGTCTCCCCAGTGGTGATGTTTACACACCGTACCAGGAACTCTTTTTTCAGGCTGAGTCGACCTAGGGGAGGCCCATGACCGGTTCACCAAGACCAGTGACGATTATCGGTATCGGTCCAGGTTCTCCCCTAGGTCGACTGAGCCTCAAATGAGTACCTGCTGCGATGTGCAAACATCGCCACTGGGGAGACAAAGGCGGGTCGGGCGTGGTGCTGGTCACCGACCCCCTCGTGTGCCACAGTGCCGGCCTTCATAGGTGCTACTAGCAAACAGCACTTGCCCCTACAGTCTGTTAAAGCTACACGGGGGATAATTTTATTTTGGTTAGTGGGTTGGTCTGTATGCCTTTGTGTCTGTGTGTGTCTTTGTTACTGTGTCTGTGTGTGTGTCTTTGTTACTGTGTCTGTGTGTGTGTGTCTGTATTTGTTACTGTGTCTGTGTGTGTGTCTTTGTTACTTTGTGTGTGTGTCTTTGTGCATATTTTTGTTTTGGTCCTGGACACCCACCCCCTCGTGTGCGAGAGTGCCAGCCTTCACAGGCTCTGCTACTTGCTACGAACAGCCCTTTCCCCAAACGTCTGTGAAGGCGACATAGACACACAAAAGATAAAGACGAAGACCCCCAGTATAGCCTGAACAGACTGTTGGGGCAAGTGCTGTTAGCGAGCACCTAATGAAGGCCGGAACGGTACACAAGGGGGTGGGTGGCTAGCACCGCGCCCGACCGCCTTTTTTTCCCCAGTGGCGATGTTTACACACCGCACCAGGTACTCATTTGAGGCCGAGTCGACCTAGGGGAGGCTCATGACCGGTTTACAAACATCATTGATAGCGAATATCTGAATCGGTCTTGGGCCTCCCCTAGGTCGACTCAGCTTTAAATGACTACCTGGTGCGATGATTAAACATTACCGCTGGGGATACAAAGGCGGGTCTCTCCCAGGCTGGCCTTCATAGGTGAAACTTACTAATAGCACTTAACTCAATAGTATTTTAAAGCTTTACGGGGAATCTTTGTCTTCGGGTAAGTAGGTTGGTGTGTGTACCTTTGTGTGTCTTTGTTATTGTGTTTGTGTCTTTGTTACTGTGTCTGTGCGTGTCTTTGTCTTTGTGTGTCTTTGTTATTGTGTTTGTGTCTTTGTTACTGTGTCTGTGCGTGTCTTTGTGTGTCTTTGTTATTGTGTCTGTGTCTTTGTTACTGTCTGTGCATGTCTTTGTCTTTGTGTGTTTTTGTTATTGTGTTTGTGCCTTTGTTTCTGTGTCTGTACGTGTCTTTGTGTGTCTTTGTTATTGTGTTTGTGTCTTTGTTACTGTGTCTGTGTGTCTTTGTCTTTGCATGTGTCTTTGTTATTGTGTCTTTATTACTGTGTCTGTGCGTGTCTTTGTCTTTGTGTGTTTTGTTATTGTGTTTGTGTCTTTGTTACTGTGTCTGTGCGTGTCTTTGTTATTGTGTTTGTGTCTTTGTTACTGTCTGTGTGTATCTTTGTCTTTGTGTCTTTGTTATTGTGTCTGTGTCTTTGTTACTGTGTCTGTGCGTGTATTTGTCTTTGTGTGTCTTGTTATTGTGTTTGTGTCTTTGTTACTGTGTCTGTGCATATCTTATTCTTAGGTTTTTTCGGTAAAGTCACGTAGGTAAAACATCAAAATTAATGCAAATAAAATAAAACAAAAAATCACGACGTTTCGGAGGCAACACAAGTCTCTGTCATCAGGTGGGACAGTCACAGCCGAATTAGCTGCATCAAGTGAGGCAATGATTCAAGATGTAGTCCCTTATAAGCAAGTTGAAGGGGGGGGGAGGAGAGGGGGGGGGAGCTCATCAGAATGTGGTAGCCAATGAATGGAAACGTAGCGGGAGGGAGGGGGGCGGGGCTCAAAGACAGCACGGAGTGCTCAACACATGCAGCAGAGAGGGGGAGGGGAGGCCTGATACACATGATAGACAAAAGAACGAAAATGCCCCTGTTTATACCAATGCTGGCTGAACAATGAAGAGAGTACTGTTAAAAATAACTGGGGATGTTAACACTCGGTAAAGTAAAGTAAAATAGTGCCTGTCAGATAAGATGGTCCAAAAAAAGTGTACTTAAGTCTTTTTTGCGTGGTTGATAACATCTTTCCAATGATTACTAAGTTTGTACCCATCATCACGGTTGAAATTATGTCTGTGTTTGTATATTTGTATGGCTTCGTGTACAAACCTTTGATGGTAGCCAGGAGGTTTGCAGAGAACCTTGGTCTCGGAAAAGACAATTTCATGAGAGCCCACAGAGTTGTAGCAATGATCGGCAACGGCAGAAGAATCAGTTCTGCCGTGTTTCAGATCTGACTTGTGCTCGCGGACACGATCAGAAACATGACGTTTCGTTTCTCCAATGTAGCAATCACCACAAATGCAACTCAATTTGTAGACTCCAGGATACTGTAAGTTAGGAACGACATCCTTCACAGATGGAATCAGATCATGGATTTTATGCACTGTACTGAATCGGACTTGGATCTTATGTTTGTTTAGAATTTTGGAGATCTTTTTGGTCACGCCTGCTATGTATGGTAACGTGATGGTTTTGGTCGGAGTTTCATCTGGCTGTTTCTGTGTGGTGGGAGAGACAGCTTGGCGGATAGTACGGTCAGAGTATCCGTTCATCCTGAGGGCCCGATGTACATGTCTTAATTCACCGGTCAGGTGGTGTTTGTCAGAAATGCCATGGGCTCTGTGGTATAGCGTTTTGATGAGAGAATTCTTTTGAGATGGGTGGTGGTGGGAATCCGGTTTCAAGTAGGAATCGGTGTGGGTGGCTTTCCTGTAGACAGAATGTCCCAAGGATCCGTCAGGTCTCCTCTCAAACAGAATATCCAAGAATGGTAGTTTACCGTCTTTCTCCACTTCCATGGTGAATCTGATGGATGGGTGTCTAGAATTGATGTGGTCCAAGAAGTGGTTCAATGCTGGGAGGCCATGTGGCCAGATGACGAAAGTGTCATCCACATACCTCTTCCACAGGGAAGGACGCAGGGTGGATGTCTGGATGGCGTCTGATTCAAACTTTTCCATGAACATGTTGGCTATAACTGGTGACAAAGGGGAGCCCATAGGGGTACCCTCATTCTGTTTGTAGAAGGTGCCATTCCAGGTAAAATAGGTGTTGGTGAGGCAATGCCTAACCAGCGCAGGTGCATCAGAATTCAATCCATGTTGGACTAAGTCCTCAATTATTGTTAGGGTGTCCGGTACTGGGACTTTGGTAAACAAAGATACTACATCAAAGCTGACGAGGATGTCATCAGGAGATAGTACCATGTCCTTAACCATAGAGACTAATTGGGTTGAGTTGAGTACTGCCGAAGAGGTCTTGCCTGTGAAGGGGAGCAGAGTATCTGATAGAAAACGGGCTAGTTTGTACGTAGGAGAGTTTATCGTCGACACAATGGGTCGTAGCGGGGTGCCTTCCTTATGGATTTTGGGAAGACCATAGAGTCTGGGAGGTCTTGCCGCCGATGGTTTTAGAGAGGGACGTTTGCTTGGTTCGATTAGGGAAGTCGAACTCGTGATGATACTGTTGGTTTTCGTCGTTAGGCTTTTAGTGGGATCGTTTTTAATTTTGGAGTAACTCCCATCATTAAGAAGGTCCAGGATTTTGTTGTTGTATGAATCTTTATCCATGATGACCGTGGCATTGCCCTTGTCTGCCGAGAGGATGACTATATCATCTCTCTTTTTTAGGTCCGCGAGTTCAGAGCGTTCATTTTTGCTGATGTTACTAGTGGGTTTCTTAGCATTCTTAAGAATAGTAGCTATTTCAGCTCTTGCTACATCCGCATGGATGTGTCCTATGCCTCTGAGGGCTACATCAATCTGAGAAATCATATCCTCTACTGGTATATGTTTAGGGGTGACGGCGAAATTTAGTCCTTTGGCCAGTACCGTTTTTAGAGTTTCAGAAATTGGGATGTTACTCTGATTAATCACGGTCTTGTTAACATCCTGCTTTGCGATGTGTGGCTCTAGTTTCTTCTTAGATAGGAGGTTGAATTTAGAAATCAGGTTATCTTTGCATTTGGCTGACATTGAGTCAGCAGAAGCAGAAGTCATGTTATCAACGTGGTTCCAATCAGAAGGTGACATTTTTTGTGTTAACATTAAATGTGTTTGTAAGAGAGTCTTGTCTAAATTGTCGAGTTCAGATCGGAGTAACCTTATTCTCTCCGAGATTAGTGATAGGCTAGCTTTAAATAAGATCTGTTTAGATCTCGGTGAGGACACAGCAGCGGATGTGAGTGTGAAAGCGATGGGTATTACCTTGTTATCTCGGCATCTCTTGAGGAAGGCCAGCGTCTCGAGAAGCTGTGACTTCTTGTCTCGTTGTCTGTTAAAAACTCTAACAGATAGGTGGAATTCCTCTCCGTAGAGGGCATTAATTCTAGATTTGAAGCTTTCGTGACTGCAAGGATTCATATTCTTAGGTTTTGTTTTGTATTTCTGGGCATGGTGCTGCCTACCCACTCCCTCGTGTGTCACAGTGCCGGCCTTCATAGTTGCTACTCGCTACTAACAGCACTTGCCCCAACAGTCTGTTAAGGCTACACGGGGTATCTTTGTCT